ATATATTAGTGTTCAATTTCATTCTATCTACAATATTTGTACAATAAAATCACATATCATTTGTAGCTCAATATGAAATTCAGAATTTCAATATGTCTACAAATTAACTACAAAATATCTACAAAAAATAGTTCATAACAGTATTTGGCTTTATTTTATTGCAGGTTCATCTGGAACACTGAAGTTAATTGATATTCCAAAATCTCCGGCGATAGTGGAATATGAAAGTATAATAATAACAGAAAGTACACCAAATGTTATTGAAGTAGGCCAAATATACCAAGATAAGCAAACAATTGCAAGTGCAATGAAGCACTATTCTGTCATGAACAAGTTTCAATTTAGGGGGAAAAGATCTAGTGCTAGAAGGTAGGAACATTGCACTTGCAATTCTTTTTTATTTTGTAGTTTATTTGTAACTTTTTACTTCTTCAGTTTTTTTTTTGGTGATATTATTTAACAAAATTGTAGATAGTTTGTAGTTGTTTTGTACATAAATTGTAGAATATGATCTTTTATGCTACAACTATTTTTTATCTAAATTTTTTATAACAGTGTTTAAATTGTTTTTATTTTATAGCTACTGGCTGGTGTGTGTTGGTGAAAACTGTACATGGCACTTCAAGGCAACTAGCATAAATGATTATGCAATGTTCAAGGTTAGAACATTCAACAGCTTGCACACGTGCTCTTTGATGGACAGTACATTCATACAATGCAAACCTACTGCCATGGTAGTTGGTAGCATAGTTATTCCAAAATATGCTAATCCTAAGACAATTTACACACCAAAAGACATACAAACTGATATGTTGTCTGAACATGGCGTGAACTTAACATACATGCAAGCTTCGAGAGCAAAGAAAAAAGCTTTGGAGGTTTTGAGAGGTCATCCTGCTGACTCCTACAACAAATTACCTAGCTATTTGTATATTCTGGAGAAGACTTATCCGGGATCTGTAGTTAAATTGAAGAAGATGGACGATGACTGCTTCTTGTATGCATTTGTTGCGATTTGTACATCAATGTGGTTGGGAATATTGTAGGCCAGTTGTAGTAGTTGATGGGACCTTCTTAAAGTCAACATACAAGGGAATAATGCTAGCAGCTAGTACAATGGATGCAACATGCATTGTAGTTTTATTGTAGACATATTGTAGCTTGTCTATTTTTTGTAGTACTTGTAGATTTATTGTAGATATATTGTTGAAAAGTTGTAGTTTGTATGTATATGTCTTCCTCTACATTTTTCCTGCAGCAAATTAATTGCTTTTTGCCACATAATGTAGGTACCATATTACCGTTGGCATATGATGTTGTTGATTCAGAAAATGACGCATCATGGAAGTGGTTTTTTGAGCAATTCAAACATGCATATGGTGAAAGACCAAATATGTGTGTTGTTTTAGATTGAAATGAGAGTATTTTGAAGGCAACATCTATTGTTTATCCGGCATGCCACATTATTCTTGCATGTGGAATATTTGGACAAATATAAGGGCAAAGTTCAAGAAGGGTCATCTAAAGTTAAGCGAATTGTACTTTGCCACGGCACGATCATACACGCTTGATGAATTTAATGAAAGGATGTCAAAGATTGAAGATATTAACTCGCGTGTTAAAGCATACTTATACGATATTGACTATCATAGTCCATAGATGGTCTTGAGTACATGCTACGGTGAACAGAACTTGGACTATGACATCAAACATTGCAGAGTCATTGAATGATGTAACAAAAAATGCAAGAGAGCTGCCGATAGTAGAACTATTAGAGTATATGAGGAATCTTCTTGAACGTTGGACTAATGAAAAGTTATTGAAAGCAAAGAGTACATTCACATACCTTGGGTTTAAATTCAACAAAGAGTTGGATGACAACAGAACATTGTCGTACAAGCTTAGAGTAAGATATGATCATTTATTGCATCAAAATAAATTATTAAAACAAAATATAGATAATTTGTAGATATTTTATATTTAATAGTATATGAATTGTTTTTTGTTTGTAATGTAATTGTAGGTGAGGGCTTCAAAAGACTACATCCATACAGTATTAGATGGTGTGATGCACTATATTGTTTGTCTTGAAAACAAGAGATGTAGTTGTGGCCAATTCCAGCTTGAAGAACTTCCTTGTCCACATGTTTTGGCTGCTTTAAGATATAGGGATGAGTCTTTTGAACAATATCGTTCTCCTTATTACACAAGGGACAACCTCTTGCGTACTTATGAAATACAAGTAAATCCCCTACCTGATGAAAGCAAATGGAATGTGCCACAACATATAACTGAAGAAGTTGTAAATCCACCTTCGGGTGGGAAAAGATAGCCAGGAAGACCTCAAAAACAAAGATACAAAACATATGATGAAGTAAATTCAAAGAAGTACAAGGTTTCATGTGGCAACTGCGGAGTAGAAGGGCATAACAAAAGATCTTGCAAGAATGCTCCCAAAAATAAATAAAATTTTATGTAGTAAACTGAATTTTTCATAAAAATTGTTGATGAATTCAGGAGAATTATATTTGATGTATAATAGTTGAGGCACCTTCAACTCTTAATGTAGTTAGTTTGAAATTGTTTTGTCTAATTAGTATTCTGTATTGATTTAATACTTTCATAGCTTGATTGGTTTGTGAATGATTTCTATATATGTAGTACACAATTGTTTTATTATCTCAAGCACCCATCGATAGTTGTTCTTGTCCTTCTACAAGTTATCTATAAAAAAACTACAAAATAACTACATAATCTGGAGTTGACAGACTAACTACATAATAATTAAGTTGAAAAGGAATTAACTAGTAACAATAATTCGATCAAGTATTGTTTACTTTTAACAAGTGAATATAAAAATAACAGAATGTTTCCCGATTCATCGAACTAGTATACTGGATAAAATAAAAAAAACAAAGGGCAAAATAATTGTAGCACAAATCTGCTACAATTAAACTTCAATAATCTTGTTCATAAACTTGTCTACTATCTTTCTACAAAACTAGTTGCACACAATTTAACTACATGTTTCATACAAAAAATTGCAACTAATTCTTCTTCCTCAAGACTTGTGTTTTCTCGTTTCACAACTGGTGTGTCTTTTTTCCTTGCTAATCTGCCAGTCACCTCACTTTCACTAATTGCACCATTCTCTTGTTTCTTCCTAGCATAGTCCTACTGTAGCGCTCCATAGCGTCTACAACGTTGATCAATATCAAAAAGGTCATCCGCAAGAACTGCTAGTTCTCCAATGCTGACATACTCTGCAAAGGCAGCAACAATACACCACTGTCGCTGCAAAATAAAAAAGTGTCAATATTTAGCAAACAATGAACAAAAAAAATATTAAATAAATAGAAAGAAATAAGATTTTTCATACAGTGATCCTTCTTTTTGCTGTGTATCTCTCCGACTATCTACTGAATGTCTATAGGATCGGTAACAACTTTTTCAATGTATGCCTTTGTGTTCTTGAAGTTGATATCTGAACGCTTGCCATAAAAACCGGTGCATGACAAGTAAAGGGGGATCATAACAGAAAACTTGGTGACTACAGATTCAACAATAGAGTGATTATGTGAGGAGACCATAGAATCATACACATAAAGAACTCTACCTGCAATGTCAAAAACAACTAACACCTAGTGAAATTTCTCTACAATGTTGACGAGTATGATCACATAATTAACTAGATCCCATGCAATATTTGCGAGTAATCTGTACCCCAATATGTATTCTGCTACGGCGTCCTGGGGTTTGACAACAACAAACTTCTTTTCTTGAGGAGAATTGATGAACTTATTATAAATTTGTTCAATTCTAGTCTTGAACATACAATCAGTGGTAGTAAACATTATCTTGTTGTGGGGGCCATACTTTTCCCTTTTCCTCAAGTAGTACATTATAACATCAATGTGCTGCAACAAAACAGATTGCATGTAATTTATTCCTTTTAGTAATTATCTACAAAAAATCTATAAAATAACTAAAATCGCATTAAATTATCTACAGAATATCCACAGAAAAACTACAATTTTATTTGATTTTAATCATTATTACAAATTTTCTACAATATATATACAAACTAAGTACAATTCCGTTTGATATTAGTCATTAATACAAAATATCTACAATATACCTACAATTCAGTTTGTTGTTAAGCATTTATACAGATTGTCTCCAATATATCTACACAATAACTACATATACTGGAGATGACACTATATCAGTGTTATAGATACAAATAATGAAAAAATTCAACAAAATAACTACATATTTTGAGTATGAGTTTACCGTGTGGCTGAGGACTTGGTCGGGGTGTGCCATATTATAGAACCACTCCTTCTTATCAACCTTTTCCACTCCAAGATCAAACCATGGCTTAATTTGGTTATCCTTTATATAATACAGAGCCTTCCTCCTATTTAAACAAATAGAAATTAAAATAAATTTGTTGAATGAAGTAGATATCTAAAAGATGAATACTGAAAACAAAGGGTCAAATTGTGAAAACAAACCTCTTTGAAGCTTTGTCGGTACCAAAGTATAACCATTTGTTGAATTCTTCCAACAACTCAAGATTAACATCTTGACCAATAACACTAGTAAATGGGTGCTTCAGGTGAAAAATTGGAGGTCCAACCGAAGTACTGCCACCAAAACTGTATAAAGGGAGAAATGGTTATCGGGCATGCTTTACGGGCCCTTGTTCTACCTTGATGCACATTGTTGTTTCATCTTCGTTAGGCTCGCCGAACTTAACCAACTGGGAGACGTTATCTGGCAGCTCAAAATCATCAAGTGTAACCTCCTTCTTCTCACCTCTGGAGTCGTCTGAATCACCTACATTTACATACTCTACTTCTTCACCTACATTAGCATCTTCCTCATTCTTCTGTTCTCCTTGAATTGTTACTGTGACTCTGTGAATTGGAGAATGTGCATGCATATGTTGCCTCACTATTACATTTAGTATATCTATCTTAATAGAATAGTAAAAAAATTGAAACAGAAGGAAAAATTTCTGTACAATTTCATATCTACATTTTCTTCATCAACTGCACCTTCAAAATGATAATATAAATCAATACATGCTGAAAGATTCTCATTATTTTCCATGTCATTCACATGCTCTATTTTTTCATTAAAGTATTTGAATTATAATAGATAGTAGTTGCTTGACATTTTTAGGAGATATGTAGGTGTCACGACCCCGGTTCGCCCTCCATGAACCATCGTAACGGCACCTAGTCCCTACGACTAGGTAAGCCTAATAATGCGGAAATTAAACCAAATTGCGGAAGAAAACAAATAAAACCGTAATAGTGATAAAACATGGTTTAATAGTGCCGCTCGACATTCTACCATAACATGCTTCACATAATACAATTAAGGCGGGTTAAGCAAATAAGCAATTAAGTCAATTAAACATGCTTTTTCTAAGCTAACAGTAGGCTTAAATTTGAAAGTAGTATAAAACAGAAAAAAAGGAACACACTTGAAATTATTTAAAGAAAATCGGATTTTTCAACAATTAGCACAAGTACGCACTCGTCACCTCATGTACAAGGCATTTCAATTACCAAATATATCAAATCCTAAGGGGAAGGTCCCCTACACAAGGTTAGGCAAGCCACTTACCTCGAATCAGCTCAAAATCAACCTGAAACCACGTCTTTGCCACGATACTCGACTTTAAATGGCCCAAATCTATTCAATTCAATTGCATAATGTAAATAACACTTCAAGTAACTGATTCTACAATTAAATTCTAAGCTAATACACAAAATTAGGTAAAATGACCAAAACGCCCCTCAAGAACACATCTCAGAATCGGGTGAAATTTATATTTTCAGAATTCTCATACTCTCACGAGTCTATACATAACAAAAATACTAAAATCGGAGTTCAATTGACCCCTTAAATACCCATTTTAAGGTCTTTTAATCTCAAGCCCTAATTATCTATTTTCCCAAAATTTTTCACTACTAATTAGGTCTTTAATCACATAATAATGAGTTATGAAGTCAAAAATATTACCTTCGAGTGATTCCCCTTTGGTTCCCTCAAAAATCACCCTCAAAAGCTTCAATCCCGTTCAAAAATGGTGGAAAAATGAAGAAGGGTCGCAGATGGGCTATTTAAATACTGCCCAGATTTAACCCTACGCGATCGCAGAAATACCTATGCGATCGCATAAGACAACTTCCTCGGGCAACGTGATCGCGACCAGCTCTATGCGATCGCACAGAGCAAATTCCATCACCTCACTGCCACACCAAGTCCTTCTATGCGAACGCAAGGGTCCTTATGCGAACGCAGTGACCAACAAGCTCACCCTATGCGATCGCAGTTCACAAACCTGACCTCAACTTACCCTACGCGATCGCAATGAACAAATCACTGCTGCAAAAATACCAGAAAACCAACAATCTCTCAAAGGCCAAAAATGCCCGTTTGAGCATCCGAAATACACTCGAGGCCCCTGAGACCTCAACCAAACCTACCAATATATCCCATAACATCATTCAAACTTGTTCCAACCTTCAGAACGCTTAAAACAACATCAAAACACCAATTTAGCATCAGATTTAAGCCTAAGAACTTCAAAAACTCTAAAAATACGCTTTCGATCAAAAAGTCTATCAAACCTCGTCCGAATGACCTGAAATTTTGCACACACGTCACATTCAACACTACAGAGCTACTCCAACTTCCAGAATTCCATTTCAACCCTCGGATCAAAATCTCACTATCGAACCGGAAACTTAAAAAATTCAACTTTCGGCATTTCAAACCTAAATTAGCTACGAACCTCTAAAACACAATCTGAATACGGTCCTAACCCCGAAATTACCTCATGGAGCTAACGGAACCATCGGAATTCCATTCCGAGGCTGTCTTCATACTATTTTGACTACGGTCAAATTTTTAAAACTTAAGCTCTCATTTAGGGACTAAGTGTCCCAAAACTCTCCGAAACTCCAAATAAACCCTCCCGGCAACTCACACTAGCAGAAACAAACACGGGAAAAGCAGTTAACGGGGGATCGGAGTGTTAATTCTTAAGACGACCGGTCGAGTCATCACAGTAGGTATATTATAGAGATCTACATAAATTTGTAGATCTGTGTAAATATATTGTATTTAATTGTATGTATATTTTAGATATGTTGTAAATATATTCTAATTAATTTGAAGTTGAAGATATGTTGTATGTATTATGTAGATAAATTGTAGTTAATTTGTAGTTAAAATGTATGTATTTTTGTATATACCTGTTTTGCTGCTGCTGACATGCAATGGTTCTCCACTAGTGCACTGAAATTGTTG